CTTCTTGCGAAACACTCGGTATTTTCTCCTCTCATCCCTCCGTGATGGCCAAGGGAACACACTGTCCTGCTCCGGGAGCCACCACACACGGGCTCGAGGGTTGTGCCGCACCTGGGGAGCTCCTCACCAAGGAGAAAAGTAAGGGGCAGCTAAAATATCCTCGAAGTTACACCCCCAGCAGCTAGGTACTCTCCAAAACGAGAGGCTTCCTCCACACGTAGAAGTCCTGGCAGAGCAATATGAAACAATCATCCCCACCAAATACACCCGTATCACCCTCACCCCATCCGACAACCGTTAGCCTTACACGACCCTCGTGATTCCCGGCGCTGCCGAGGGGATTCCAGCTGCCTCCAGACATTCACTGCACTCTCGGGTAGAAAAAGTCTGCCTTCGTGTTCGAAGGCAAGGGCTAGCGTCAAAAAAGCAGCTCCCCACCTCACACGCGCCTCTCGAGGTGTCAGAATTGTCGTGTTTTCTTTTTAAACGCAGGGCCTGACCCCACCTTTTCTCAGCAAACTCTCGCTGTTCGACCTTGCTCTGTTTGGAACGGTAGGTATGGAGGGGTGCGAATGGGGAGAGCGTCACAGCCCCGAATCATCCCCCGGCCAAACCCACCCGCCCCAGCCAGCAGTTCGCGACCAACGTACGAGCTTGAGAAGCAGAAACCCCTTTGACGTGGCTTGTCTCAATAACAAGATTCCCTGCCGCCGCTTTCCACCGCTCTGCTCGTCTGCTGATGTCATTCCCTTCCCACTGCTACGTCACGCTGTCACCAGCCTGGGTGGGTAACGAGATAAAATTAGGACCCGACCTCCAGGGCAAGAGCCAGAAGCGCTACAACCACCCAAGGGCCTGAGCTCGCAGCAAACCAGTGAATATTTCCATCTTCTCCTTCTCAGAGACAGAGGATGCTGCAATTCCTTTTGTGGTGTGGGCAACTGAAAAACCTGGAAGGGCGAAATCAGCTGAGCCGGTAAAGACTGAACTGGAACCTGGAGTTAAACCGGGAAGACAAAACCGACGTGCTCTGAAGCTGGAGGCTCGTGTCGGGCTGGAACCTTTTACAAACAATTTCCTGAAATACGGATTACCGCAACAGTGTCAGCCGGAGTACGATACTCCGGTTTTACCAGTCAGGAAGCCACACTCACAAGAATATAGACTGGTACAAGACTGGAGAGCAGTTAACCCACAGGAGTGGATGTCCACCCAGCGGTACCTAACCCACAAACATTACTAACTACTAGAACTG